GTGTTCATATCAGCACATCTCCCTTTTTCTCATCTGTGAAATTGCTGCCTGTTACAAGGGATGAACTGCTGCATAAAAGTGCAGTTTATTCAAGTATTATTGTCGCTGATAACTATCATAGTCGCTGACACTAGATGAATTTCTGTGGCAATCAATCCATCCAGCAACAGCTTGCTGGGACTTAGACACGGCACGGATTTACTAGACGTGAAAACCTCTTTAGTGGAAACCATTAACTCCCACTATTTGGTATTCACACTAGCACTGAGAATGCAAGGTTCACATCTTTGATGGCTGGCTGAATCTGTGTGAACTTGATGAGAGAGATGCACGTTAACTTTTTGTTTCAGCACTAACTATAAGGCCATTAAAGTTATCTCAATGCAAATATGCCAGGTTATATGCTTTTAGTGACTTGTTTTACATAACCAAAGGGAAACTGCAAGCAACATGTTTATTTATACTACCAATAGGTTTTGATCTGAAAATGCTGTAAAGACTATGCAATATTGTTTAAAATATCCAATTTCCACCTAAAGAAGGAATGTTCACAGCTACAGCTAAAAGAAAGAAGAGCTAATATGTGAAACTCCCAATTTTGTTGGGTTTATACATACATAGCTGCAGTCCAATTTACCGCAGGACAATCACATTTCTGGACATGGCACTAATAACTCCTGTCTCTGAGTGGGGTGGGGTGGGATGGATCAGGGTAGTTGCAGTGCTGGTCAGGATAACAACTATTAATGGAAGCTCTCAGTGGCTGGGGGGTAATTAGAAAATTGTTGAAAGAGATTGGGTCTCTTGAGGATCACTCTCTCTCTTTCTGCCCAGAAGAATTTTGGAAGTGGAAAGTTCCCATTTAAAGAAATGAAGAAGCTAGAACTGAAGATAAACTGGAGTTAAGAGTCTAGGAGTTAGTCTTGTTCCTACTTGCTTTAGGAGCACAACTGGTCTCCAAGCTGACAACTGCTGCTGCAGACCCTGCAGCTTTGCCCTTGGAGCAGGAGATATCAGTTTCATTGGGGGACCAGAGAAACATCCCTCTCAGCCATGAGGGCCTAGAGGGGGAGAAGGTGCTGGGGTGAACTGGGAGCTGGAAGGGTCTTTTGCTTTTTTTTTTATGTTGCTTCCCTAGTGGCTCTTAAAGGAAAATGAGAAAAATTACAGGAGAAAGGTCAGAAATAAAGCCAGAATGTAATCAGAGTTGAAGCGGAAGCTGGCGAGAGAGGCTACAGCAGCAGAAAAGGTTAGGAGGAAAGTTACTTGTTATCTCTTCTTAAAAATGAAACAGAGGCAGAGAGAGCAAGCTGATAAGGCCAAGCAGGGACTACAGTTCCGAGGCGATGGAAATGTGTGTTGGACTCCAGAGGAATAACAAAGGAATCCCTAAAGTGATCAGGAGAGGGAAGTGATAGCCATGGCTTTCATGTTGATAGTTTAAAGCTGAAGCACTAAAGAGCAGAGTCTGCGATGTTTCCATGAGTATTGTCTTCTGCAAGTTCCAGCCTGACACCACAACCCTGTCTACCTCACTGTTGCCTTCACCTTCCAGTCAATTCAAGTTGGGGGAAGCAATGAAAAATATCTTTCATACTTGAGCTAGCAGTAATTCCATAGGGTCATTAGGGACACAATTTTCATACCACAGACACATTAAAGACCTCATCCTTGCTACTAAACAGCATCTCCCTCACTGATTGATTGTGACAGTCTGAAGATGCTTTAAGGGCTGGGATGTTACAATAGGTGCAGGGAGATTGACTGCATCCACTGCCCTCTTCCCACAAGTCCAAGGTGCATGATCCATTTATTGGGCACCTGGCTCTTGAATTCATCACGTGGCTGTCACCACCCCAGATATGGTGGGTGGCTGTGTATATACTAATCTCACAGTAAGAAGCTCAGGAAAAATAATATAAAGTATATAAAAATAAACAATAAAACCTCTCCATACTCCAGAGCTTAAGCGAGAGCTTGATTAAAAGTCAGTGGACAGTTCTCTCTTAGGGCCTGGTCCCAAACCCAGGGAAGTCAGTGGGAAAGTCCCCATTAGCATCAAGGGCTTTGGATCAGGTGCTTAAGGTCTCTGCTATCCTAAACACAGCTCTCTCAAAATTCAGTCCACACTGCCTACTCTATTGGCCTCTCCAGGCTCAAGGCTCACCACCAACAACAAAAAAAAAAAAGCCCCCGTCCCTAATGAGACCAGGTCTGTGCTGCAGACACATGGCGACTTAGTGATGGAAAAGACCTCTTGTCTCATGTTGTCAATGCCCCTGCTAGGTTAGGATTGTTCGCTACTTTCATCTCAACCTGTCCATTTCAGCAGCCTCACTCTCCTCCTCCCCCCCCCCCGGGTTTTCAGTTGCAGAGTGACAGCTGCGTAGCACAATTTTATAAGTAGTTTGTACTGGTGCTATACAGCAAAGCAAACCATCATGCAAAGGGCAGCAAGCTGGAATGAGCAGAGAAGTCTGTCCAGCAGACACTTGGGCCCGCAGCTCCCTACAGCAAGAGACTGGAAGAGGCTATATGACTGTCCCACCAGGAAAATAAAAACATACACATTAATAACATTCTTCCAAACACCAGACACAGCTTATTTTTGTGACTTAAACTCTACCTTACCCATTCGACCAAAATCATAGTACAATCCTCTTTAATTTCACTTAGGTGTGTCTTGCTGTGAATCATAGAGCAACGTATTATTCTTCACTGGTCATTTTTTCTATGTTGCCACTTTAAATTTAACCCCACTAAAACACAATGAAAATAAAGAAAAATAATGATTCTTTTAATTATTCAAGCAGCAAGAATCATGCTTTTGATTCCTATATGCAGCATCATCGTAAGAACAAGACTTCAGCCAGATGACTTCACAGCAGTAATAAATATGTGTTACAAAACACTTAGATTCTGTTCCCCTTCAGTTGTACTTCTTGATTAATCTACAACTCGCACACATCTGTCTGTCTGTCTGTCTGTCTGTCTACCTACTTTCCTAACAGAAGTAATCGCATGATACCCTTCACTATACTGAAGAAACACCTGGAAGAATTGCGAGTTTTCTGATTACTGCTTCGGGAGGCAGAAGGCAAAGCAGAGGCAGAAGGCAGGAGGCAGAAGGCAAAGCACTGAGAAAATTAGACACTAAATTTGATAGGACATTGAATGAGCATTTCCATTTTGTCTGGAACAAAGACCAGCTAGGGTCTGTTTGAGTACTTCTCTGAAAGTAGACAAGCCGTCTCGAGTCACACTCAACTCAATACCCAATCTCAGCTTTAAAACTCTTTAAAAGGCCCATCATAGCTGCTCCCACCCCCCCCCCCCTTGTGAAAGCACAATCTGTGTGAAAAGGCCTTTATTAAGTACAGTTCAGTGAAACAGATTTGCTAAATGTTAACAAATATGCTCATTGGAATGTTCACTGCAACACTGCACCATAGGTCCTTCCATAGTGACAGGAAAACTCCTACATAATCCTACATCGGGTTGATACTATCTTGATGCAATAAACCAACTGATGTCTACTCTTACATAGAAACTTCCTGGAGTATTTTACAAGATTGGTATTTTACTTCTGCATTTTAAAGAGTGTACTATTAACCATACTCTCAGACTTATACATATATCAGTCTGAGAATAATGGTTAATGCACGCACGCACACACACACGACCCCCAAAACAGATGATTGAGTCACATAGCTTTGCAATGAATCTCGATCATCATTCACTATGTTTGGAAAGATTTTAGCGGAGGTGGGAGTTTGCTCATAAAATCTGGTTCCTTTTCCTTTCTTTCTCAGTACAAAGTAAGAGTCTAGTGCATCCCAGTGGAGAGACATAAGAAAAACACATTTGCTTTCACAATTTCTCCCCATCACTCTACAGAGAGTATCAAAACGTTCAATCTCCAAGGAACACAGATACTTGCACACAGAAGTTAAGCCTTCGATACAGCTGGTACCACTTATCCTTAGCATGTCTGACGTTCCTCAGCACTTGTAATTTATATATGTGTGTGTAAATACTGCATACCTAGCTGCATAAATCCTTTTATCAGATTAATATCTGAATCCCAATGATTTATTTCAACCTATCACTTTAGAGGCAAGAGAAAGAATTGTTTTTTTCTTCCATTCTTAAAAGATGATGAACAGGGAGATACTTACATGCTAGAGTTATTTTATTATACAGCTCTATTCATCCACTGTTTCCTTCCAGTTAAACATCCAAATACATATATCAAACAAAGATCTCTGTGTATATGCTTCCATGTGTACATAGAGACTCTTGCATACACCTGTGTACAACCTATGCAGTATATGCAGGTGTGTATATATATATATATATACACGGCTATTTACAAACAGATAGTTACATAGACACACGCATTAACCAAGTGCAGTTTTTCAGTCAGCATCACTGCAGCCATCAGCATGTTGATAAAACCTCTATGCAATGTTTTTATATATCTATGTATATGCATACTTTTGTAAAGACATCCTCAATGTGCTTGGAGAAGGTATTTTCTTGGTGCGTGGACTGCGCCTATGTAGAACTATATAATTACATGGATGCACAGAGTGAAACAGTGATTCCACATAGCATTGCATGTTCATACCCAACCGCCCAATATAGGAATCTGGTCCTACCAAAGTCCCAAGGATTGGGCAAATCAGATCAACACTTGGGCTGAAAAGTAACTTACTGACCATGGTTGGCAGTGCCAGGTCTAATCTTTAACTAAACCGGTTTCTCCTCAAGGTATTGATTCACCAGAACTCTGCAAGAGAAACTGCCCAACAGACGTTAGCCTGGCGAAAACTACAGCGGAGGAAGCAAAAGGTCATTTCATCTTGTACAATCCATGCTAACTACGGGGGGGGGGGGGGGGATGTCTAAACAAAACGTGATCCCAGGAACCCAGCTACACAAACTCGTGACGATCCAAAACCAAACCTGGGGGGGGGGGGTGCCCTCGCGCCTCTTACCTGCTTGCTAAAAGCTGTTTTATCCACATTGTCACGTTTCAAATATCTTAGGATCAGATCTTCCTCTCCCCAGCCATCAGTGCCGCCCCGCGGTTACACAACGGGCTCAAAAATCAGGCTGGCGTCCGGGGGGGGCTCCTTCCCGCGCCCGCTCTCCCCTGCTGCCGAGGCGGGCGACAGAGGGGCGCCCTCCACCTCAGCCCGCGCCCCGCTCAGCCGGCAGGACGCGTGGCGGGGGCCGGGAACCCCGACGTGCCCGCATCGACGCGGGGCGGGCGGAATCGCAGCGCCCCCGCCGGCCCCCGCCCCGGGGGGGGGCGCCCGCGGGCAGCAGAGCCCGGGCCGGAGCCCAGGGAGCCGGCCAGCCGGGAGAGGCGGGGGCAGCGCTCTCCTGCCCGCGGGCTCAGGTCGCTCTCCGAGGTGCTGGAGCCCCGCGCGTCCCCCGCCAGGCGCCAGCCAGCCCCATGCGCAGCCGAGCCGCGTCTCCGCCGCTGCCCGCCGGCCGACAGGCTCGCGCGCTGCCTAGCCCATGGGAGGCGGGCTCGCCGGGCGGGGCTCGCCGGGGAAGGCGGGGAGGGGCTCGGCCCGGCAGCCGGCGACGCCTCGCTGCGGCCCCGCGCGCTGCCCCGGCCGCTCTGCACCGCCCGCCTCCCGGGCAGCGGGTCCCAAGCCCGCGTGGGCCAGCCCCGGCTGACGTCACTCGCCCCCCCCGCCCGCCGGAGGATGCTGAACCCCGTTAGCGGCGCGACCCACCCCCACCCCCCTTCCCCTCCCGCCCCCACGGACACCCACCCGGCCTCGGGGGCGGGCCCAGCGCAGGCGGCGTCAGGGTCTGAGCCGCTCCGCCTCGGGGTCTGCCGGGGGGGCTTGCGCGGGGGGCGGGAGGGCTGGCGTGGGTCTGCCGTGGTTAGGAGAGGGGGATGCGTGGGGACTGCGGGGCTTCTGGGGGCTGCACAGGGACAGCGGGGCATCTGGGGGGTTGCAGTACTGGGGGTACGTAGGGGACAGCGGGGCACCTGGGGGGTTGCACTACCGGGGGTACGTAGGGGGCGGGGCATCTGGGGGGGTTGCAGTACTGGGGGTACGTAGGGGACTGCGGGGCATCTGGGGGGTTGCACTACTAGGGGTACGTAGGGGACTGCGGGGCATCTGGGGGGTTGAGTATAGGGGTACGTAGGGGACTGCGGGGCATCTGGGGGGTTGCAGTACTGGGGGTACGTAGGGGACTGCGGGGCATCTGGGGGGTTGCACTACCGGGGGTACGTAGGGGACAGCGGGGCATCTGGGGGGTTGCACTACTAGGGGTACGTAGGGGACTGCGGGGCATCTGGGGGGTTGCACTACCGGGGGTACGTAGGGGACAACGGGGCATCTGGGGGGTTGCACTGCTAGGGGTACGTAGGGGACAGCGGGGCATCTGGGGGTTTGCAGTACTAGGGGTACGTAGGGGACTGCGGGGCATCTGGGGGGGTTGCAGTACTAGGGGTACGTAGGGGACTGCGGGGCATCTGGGGGGGTTGCGGTACTAGGGGTACGTAGGGGACTGCGGGGCATCTGGGGGGGTTGCGGTACTAGGGGTACGTAGGGGACTGCGGGGCATCTGGGGATGCATAGACGGGTTACACTGCATGGGTTGCACAGGGGGTTGCAGTGGGGTTGCACTACACAGGGATGCATGGGGCATTGCCCCGCATATCTGAGGGCGGGAGGATTGCAGGGGGTGCGGGGTTATGCTGTGTGGGGTTACAAGGCAGGGCACGGGGAGGGTGATTGCACTGCCTGGCGGTTTATCCCGAGCTCTGTGCTGTCACCGGCTCCTTTCAATCACCCTCCCTTCAGCCTTTCAGGAGCTAGGGGGGGCTGGGATTGGAGCGCGTGATAGTGTTTCCATGGCAACTGGGAGGCTTGTGGAGGAGTGGAGGTTTCCCACCTGTCCCCAGTGCAGCAGGGGGATGAAGGGGCTGGTTAGGAGGGAGAGGGAACTGAAGGGGGGCGGGAGGACTGCCTGGGCAGTGTGCTGGGGCTGCATGATTGGGAGAGGGCAGAGGGGTGGATGCAGGGGGGAGACCCCCTTCAGCTGCTGCGCCGGTTCCACTAAACGGGTAATAATGGATCCCTGTCCTCCGGGGCACTCGCTGCTCCCCTTCAGGGTTGGGAATGGGTGTTTCTGCCCCATCTAGGGTGACCAGACAGCAAGGGTGAAAAATTGGGACTGGGGTGGGGGGTAATAGGTACCTAGAGAAGACAAAGCCCCCCAAAATCGGGACTGTCCCTATAAAATCGGGACATCTGGTCATCCTAGCCCCATCTAACATTACACGCTAGCCAGGCGTTTTACTGGGCCGTAGGGTTTGCAATGCTGGGGTAGTCCGCTGGCCCACCCAGGCTCCTGCAGTGGCCAGTGCATGGTGCTTCAGAGGAGGGTAAGCGGGGTGCCGAGCCAGTTGTGCACGATTGTACATAGGGTCGGAGTTGTGACTTGGCCGCTTCGGCAATCACAGGACATTTGATTGCCCTTGTCCTAGCTGCATACCAGGGAATGACATTCCGGGTCATAAAATCCCTCATCCTTTTGTAATCTGCAGCCACAATAATTTCCGCAATCTCCTTTTGTGGCAGTGAATTCCATAGGTTGGTAGGCACTGTTATGATTTCATTGGCCCCCCCGGAAGCATGATAAAAGGCAGGGCAGGATTACTGGACTGACCACAATAGTCTAATGTGGTACGTTCCAATGTTGAAAATTGCTCCTCCGATAATCCAGAGAGATCAATAAGCAGTGGCGCTTCTGGTCTACTCCTTCACTGGCGAAGCGGATATATTATATTCAGTACCTTGTACCTCCAGGGCACTGAAATATGCCCCGCTTCTGGTGAGGGTGATGAAACTCCATAGTGAAAGCAATAGTGAGACCACAAGCACAGACCAACAGCAAGTGTTTTACCCACCATGTTTTGTATACCTCTTCAAAGCCGGTTGAGACAATGTGGTTAAAACGCTGACAACGTCTTGTGTTCTTGTGTCTCTACAGTAGGCTTCGGGTTGGTGGGGGATGCACTGCTGTCAGCAGGCCTGGGGAATGTTTCAGAAGAAAGGCTAGATTCAAATGCTGTGTGTTTTACTAAACAACTCCCCTGCCTATGGACTCGGGAAACTTGGGTTCATTGTGCCAGGTGGGATGGTTTCCCCATCACTTCTGTTTGTCTGTCACTGTATCCATCACTGTAACATCAAGATCCTATTTTCTGAGAACTGCCATTTTGGCTGAAAAGCCAAACGATACTTTTTTTAGTACTTCACTGAAAGAAGGTGCACTGTCTATGGCACTTTATTGTCTGCAGTTTCCATGCCCCACGCTCAAGTTTATGTATTTATTTAATTATAGATAAGCTGCCATAATAGTGATTTTTTTTAACCCCGTAGTCAGAGGGTGTATCCCCAAAGTGAAATGATGTGGGGTTGAGGTAACTTTCTGTTCTAGGGCATGGGAAATTGATACATTTTTTATTTGTGCTTTGAAAGTACTGCCGGCAGCTTGTAGGGGAGGAGGAGCAGCAGACTGCCTTACTGATGGCACTTCCTCATTTAATTCAATACACTCGGAGCATGGTTGTGTTGGGGGAGGGGAGATGTTCTACACAGTGCTTCACAGCTTGAGTGCTGTCATATACGCAAATACCAGCGGAGTATGTAGGCTACAATGTAAACCATAGCTGGCCGCCCCAGCAAACGCAGGCTCGGGGAGAAAGAGATACAAACAAACAACCTTTTTTGCCAAATCTTGATTTTCAAAATCTGAACCTGTATGTTTGATGATGTAGTAGAGGTGCCAAGCAAATGTCACGCATTTGCCTCCCAGAGCAGCTCCAAAGAGTCCTTCTGTTCTTTCAGTCTGACAGAACAGAGCCTGGCAACTCTGCTGCAGCTGCAGGAAGCAGTTCCACTCCAAGAGGTGGCGTTGGTATGGGCAGAAGGAGATTTCCAGAAAACAGGCTTTGGCCTTGTCTACAGGGGGACACACAGGAAAATTAATCTGAATTCACCAAAGCTGTGAATGTAAAATGGTTAAACCACATTACAACCACATGTGGTCGCTCATTCAGAATTAAAGTGGCCTCAATTCAGTTTGGCCCCTTTAATTCTGAATGAGAGTGTCCATTCTGGAGTCTAACCAAAATTTATTTATTTATTTGTATTATCATAGTGCCTAGGAGCCCCAGTCTTGGACCTTGACCCCATTGTGCTAGGTGCTGCAGAAACACAGAACAAAAAGAAATAGAAAAGGACCAAAGGATAAGATGTAATCTGCCACATAACTGAGAAGGTGTCATACAAAGAAGCATCATATGTAGAAAACATTTTTTCAGATGGACAAGAGGTTACTTTAGGGGGAAGAAAACCAGTTCAGATAAAAGGAGTAACATTAATCTTCATCCAAAACCAAAAGTGAACTGAATTTAAATGTTATCTTGCATTTGAAAAAGTCCAGTGAAGTTTTATTATCTTTACTACAATTAATAAATGTCTTGCACTAACATGGGCTAACCCATATGCTCTACTGTTACAATACCCCCTCTAACCCCAAGATCTCAAAGTGCTATATAAACATCCCCATTTTTCAGATAGGAAAACTAAGGCAAGGAGAGGGGTTATGACTTGCTTATGGTTATAAAGTGAATCCGTGGCAGAGCTGGAAGCTAAGAGTCCTGGCTCCTGACATTTTGGTCTGACCACCTGACCACATTCCTACCAAAACCTACTTGCCTCTGCATTTGCTAGTTCCATCCATGACCAGAATCCATCCATACACCCGCTGCATGGCGAAGGGCACTCTCAGGGGAGGGCTCATGGCTTTGGAAATCACTCCCTTGCCCTGCCCCCTTGGTCTGACAGAAAAACACAAAGTATAACGAGACTTGCCGTAAAATTGCGAGAGCTGGCAACACTGTCATGTAATGGTGAAGGGAAATGTCTGACCCATCAGAATCAATGCAGCGGGAGTAAAAGTGGGCTGGGAAGATGAAATCCATCACTGACCACTGAGGGTAAGGCTGAGATCTGCAGCACTGTCCTCCTCAGCCTCCGGAGATACTCCTGGGCCTCTGAGCCAACCCATGGCCTGATAGAGTGATCACATCCCCATCACATCACTTGTGCTTGGAGACCACTAACTCCAAGTAAATTTGAGGCCTGTGTTCCACATAAACATAGAGCTTGAGGGCTCTCCCTGGTCTGCCCAGTCCCTACATAGGAGACCCTTTCTATAGCATGCATGTACAGCTGCTCCCC